ACAGGGTGTAAGGCTGAGACCAGAGAGAGGTTGTCCCAATTCCAGTTGACCACTCGCCAAGATGAATCAGGGGCCTCACTGCCTTGGGGAGAGAACAGGTGTGAGGAACTATTAAGAGAAACTCATTTATTATCTCTCCACAACCTTTTGAGGACAGTTGAAAATCTTTTTCAATTCTTTTATGCTCACCACACAATTGCTTAGCTATGTGGGTTACTACATAACTGTGTCGGTCTGGAAGAGTTTATGACTGGGATCTGGGAAAAATGCAGAGTCTATAAATATCTCCCCTTCTCCAGCCCAGAGCGAAGAGTTGGGAGAAGGTGAACCTGCTTATCCACTGGGAGTTCTGACCCAGCAGGACAGCCATTTACGTGAGAATCCTTGAGCCCCTTGGGGGAAATTCGGCGGTGACTTTGAGATGGATTTCATTCCTCTGAGATCTAGACACNCCCCTTGGGGGAAATTCGGCAGTGACTTTGAGATGGATTTCATTCCTCTGAGACCTAGACATCCAAACAAAGAGAACAGGACAAAGCAGTCTTCATCCTGGGGGAGGTGCCCAGTGGCGGGAGGTAAGTCACTGGCCCTGACGTAGAAGAATGGGAGGATCCCCGGTGCCACAGAGACTTGGAGACATGGACATGGTGAGTTTTAGAAGCTGTGGTGTGTGTGCAACCCTCCCATGTCCTCCAAACCAAGGTCCTTTTTAATAGAGACTATCCTGCAAAGGCCAGTGGGGCCAGCTGACAAGGACCTTACCAGAAGAACCAGACAGGTAGTGGGGGAGGACTGCATCCCAATCAAACTGGTGGGTGGCAGATTGATGTCAAAGGCCATAGTTAGGAAACAGTGCAAAGGTTTACCTGCACCTCGAGTTCCTTTTCGCTGTCAGGCGTGGGGAAGCGGATTGCATTTGCACAAAATGGAGATTTTTCCCCCCCCTGAAAGATAGATCATGACAGTGAAGGAAATTTTACCAGAAGTGCCTCCTGGTTGGGGTGACGGTCTCCTCTTTCATTCTTCCCCCCTCCTTGCCACTGCCCCTCCCTGCCCCAATTTAGACAGTGAACAGAAAATTTGAGTAGAAAGGGCTGGAGAAAGGGACTGAGGGGAACCGTTTCGGGAAAAAGCTGTTCTAAAATGACAGGATGTTCACAAATGTAAACAGCAAGTGGGTTCTGCGGAGACATGTGCATGCTTTTCTTTCTTGGCACAGGGAGGGTTTGCTGTGCAGCCGGGGCTTTTCTCTCCTGGTAGCCAGTGTCTCTGAAGGAAGGTCATCTGAGCAGGAAGAAAGGAGGAACACAGGAGGAACCATTTGAAAGCTTATCATCCTCACCAGCTCCTTTTCCAGGGCGTCCAACCAGCCTGCCCCTGCCTTGTCCTCAGCTCACTGAGTGGGATTTTCTAGCCGAGGGGGAGCTCCCAGAACATGATGCTGAAAAGGCCGGGCCAGCAGCCGCCTTGGAGCTGCGGGGTGGCTGCTGCTGTGGAACTCCCCTTGTCACTGCCACGAAGGAGGCTGCTGGCTTTCCCTGAAGTTTGCCCGAGGTCTTTAAAGGGGTAATGTTTACTCAATGACGTTTGGAAAGGATACAACATCTCCTGTCTCCAGACCTTGTAGCCTGCTCTGAACCCCAGCCAGATCGGAAATGCCAGCTCCCTGTTCTTGTCCATCTCCACCCCCGTCGCCACCGTGTTATCATCCAAGCGAGCTATAGAAGCTGTGATGCTTGTGAGGTCCCTCAAATGTCCTCCAGTCCAGGGCCCCTATCAGGAAGAGCCCCAGCTTTGCTAAGCTTCACCCTCACCCCCCAGTCCACTATGTCCACATATCTGAGGCCTGTCTTGCCCCCGTGGGATGCTGTGGGCCTCATACAAGCTGCGACCACAGGTGAAGTGCACAGTTGCCAGGAGAAGGTATAGATGTCCCTTGAAGGGAGCCTGGCCCTGGGGTCATGCCACTGCAGGTTCCTGTATTCTCCGTCCTGGGAAAGGCTCTGGCCCCGGGGGTGGGGGGGTGAGGGGGGGGTTGTGAGGACAAGAGAGGTCTAGGAGCAGTACACCCTGAGCTAGACTAAAGTTTTTGTTTTCTTTTGCAGATTTTGGTTCCTAACTTTTCCTGAACATCAGCTTCTCTGTGGGTTAATAGCTGTTCTGAATATATGTTTATTCTGAGGGGAAATTAATTTCTAATTAGTAACATGCAAGAGTAAAAAGCCCAGCACAACTTGTAACTTTACACGTTCACCCTGGTCCACAGCTGAGGCTGCTGAAGGGAGAGGGCTTATCTCAGAGAGAAGGTCCCATGTTGGCTCTGGGGTGACCGGGAAGCTCAGGACATGAGCTGGTCATCTCATAACATGTTACCTGGACCTGGCCCCCGTGAGTATGAACCTGAATCCTAGGGCAAGGAGGTGCACAATAAAGGACGAAATAAAAGCAAAATGAGCCTTTCTCTGTAATGCTGGTGGATCCTAGGGGGCACAGGCCATGCAGCAGCTGGCAGGGCTGGCACTGGGGCGTTTCCAAGCCTCCCTGCCAGATCTGGTCACTGCAGGCAATGCTCAGTTTCTAGATACATCAGTCCAAACTCTACCGCTGTCTTCACATGGCTCTCCCCCACAACGTGTGTATCTGTGTCTCTTTCCTTCTTATACGGAGAACAGTCATACGGGATTGAAGGCCCACTCTGTTCCAGGATCACCTTATCTTAATTTACTTCTTAGCCACATCTGCAAACACCCTATCTTCAAATAGGGTCACATTCACAGGTGCCAGGGGTGAGGAGGTGAAGATATCTTTTGGGGGATGCAATTCAGCCCACGGCAAGCATCTCTGCCAGCAATGGAGACAGCACTACACCTCCACCTTCACCTTCAACACAGGCACCAGTGCCCTTGGCACAGACATTAATGTTGATGGGTTCAAACTTGCTCCAGCAAGTGTGAGACCTCAGCAAATTTCAAGGTCATGGATGGCACTTCCAGGCGTCCAGCAATGAGAAGACGGTATCACTGCCAGCCAGAGTAAACAAGAAAGTGGTGTGGCCAAGAGGACTAGATCTTGGCATACATATCTCTCAGGATTGCCCAGGAGGAATGTCAGGGGGGTGTCAGAACTCCCGTGCAGTGGATAGGATAGAGCAAAAGAACCACTGTGGCTGTCACTGCTCTGTTCCCTACATGTAAGTCAGAGTGGCCTGAGAACCATGTTGCTTCATAACCACTAGTCTACTCCCCCGCCATAGTTCCCTTTTCTCCTGGTCTGCTGTTGGCTAGAGCTACCCTTAGAATATATTTCCTCAGATTGCAGAGTGGGTTGGGGTCTTTCCAATCTGTCAACACCAGAGTGGGCACAGGGAAGCCAAAACCAGAGCAGAATGAGGTCAGATAGCAGAGGGCCTGCGGATAGAATGCCAAGGCTTTGGGCACAGTAGGGAGCAGCCAGACTCAGCAGTGGGCGTCAGCTAATCCTAGCAGGGATGCAAACTAGAGCTGAGTCCAAGATGAGAGCTCACAGGTGTTAATGAGCAGGCAAGGCACAGGAATTCAAGAGTGTGAGCCTGGAGGTGGCTGCGAAAAATGACCCAAAGCCCAGGCGCCTGCTCCCTTGGTGTACTTTTGCTCGTCTTCAAGGAACTCTACTTTGTATCTGCTCCTTGATGCGAAGCAGTAAGCTTGAACAGCCCTCTGTGTGCACAAACCAGTGTGCAGACAGTGTGCACAAACCACCCTGTGTGCACAAACCGCCCTGGAGCTAAGGCAGGCCCTCTGCCCAGGTTCCTCATTCCCGCCTGGTCTCCAGCCACATGAACAGGCTGCTGTTTGTCTCGTATTCTCTCCTCGAACCACGAGACCTCTGGATCACTGGCTCCCTTCCTCAGCAGCTTCAACTTTAGTCTCAGAGACCAAGAAAGTCCCCTTGCTCCCCCACACCACTCTGGTTCTGCCCCGCCCCATGTTGTAACATCCCCTCTCCTGCCCCTGCCATGATGGCATAGGGGACGCTCGCAAGGGCTCCAGACAGACATCGGCATGGTCCTTTCTGCTCTCAGCCACTCAAGCCCCTGCAGGGGGTGGGTCTCATCCCGGGCCCCCCTTGGTACTGACCCAGGCGGAGGAGCAGGGAGCAGAGCCCCTTCTTAAAGCCCTTCTGTACTCTTCCTTCCTCTCTATTCTCGTCTCCCATTCACCTGTCTTTCAGTCTTAAGTTGTCTGGGCCAACAGACAAAAACACATGCAGAGTCTTTTAAATCTATCGCTTAGTTTGGGACCTTGGCTCTTGAAGTTTAAATGACCTTGTCTTAAGTAAATTAAAAAACAAACAAAACCCTTGTAGGTTAGAGCAGACAGCTAGCAGACTCTGCTACAGATCAGATAGCAGAAAAGGGCACTTCATGTCCCCCAGTGGGTTCCTTTTCCTTCATGTTTGTCCTCCCACAAGACCTCTGTCCAATCTCTATGGCCCACTTCAGCGCTCTTCATACCCTTTGGCCTTCTCCTTTGGAGAGAACATTTTTTGGGTTTAAAACAAGTACATCTAGTGAATGTTTGAAATAGACTAAATTAAGGACCTGACTCTGATTATTGCCACCTCCAGAATATCTTAGGAAGGGCTTCCTTGCTGCCTTAGCTGGGGCCATTAGCATTTATTGAGTGTCTACTGTGTGCTGGCTGCGGTCCTGAATAAACCATGATGCTGGCCTGTGAGACTCATCAACTTGAGACTTGGTTCAGCATGAAACTCTCCAGCTGATACAACCTTTGCTCCATCCAGCCCAGGTGCTAGGCCAGTGTGATCAGGTCTTGGCAGCTTGGGTGTGAGTTTTTTCTCCTTTGAAAAAAAAATCTATGTTTCCCTCTGTGATGGGTTAATCCCCAAATAGCCAGGCTTACTTCTGTCGCAGATCCTAACCACCTATAGGGCTTTCTTCATGGGCTTTAAGTTCAGTCCCTGATCTGGCTCCACACAGCTTTCATTTATATTTCACTTGCCATTCTCCACCACAAGGTGCCTTTTTCCAAAAGGTGGAAATCTCAGCAGATGTATCCATTCTGGGATGTTTTCTGGGCACACACCAGTGAGTTCATTAGCCATAGCTAACCATGAAGCTTTTTTTTTTTTTTTTAGTTTGCAGCAAAGAGCAGAATCATGTGATTTCCTCCTAGTAGCTCCGATTCCTGTATGTTCAGGGAGCAGTGGCTGAAATTACCCTCGAGAAGGAGGGCTATGCTTGCTAAACATCCATGCTTCTTAGGAGTGTCTGCTTTTGTTTAACGGAAGACTGAAGCTCAAACAGGAAATTTTTAGGTCAGCTATACTTTGCTCTAATAAAAGAAAAGTCTAGCCAAAAAAAGAACAGCAAAACTATGGCCTGGGCTTTGTGGAGTGTCTTGTCTGATTACCCAATTATTACAGCTCAGATTAGGAAGGGATTAACTCTGAGGTTGAACAGATGGAGAACACTATTAAAATACCCCATGTGGGGTTTCAGAGTGTGTAGCAAAGTGACCACCTGTCCCTGTTTCTTGGGTCAGTTCGTCCTCATTTAAAACCTCAAGATCACTGTCTTTGATGCTCATGTGGGAGAAACTGAAGAGCTCAGGAAGCAAGCTGGGGCCCCAGCCCTGCTCACCAGAACCTCTACCCTCCTGCTTCTCTTTCTCTAAATTATGCCCTGCCCTAGAATGACCTGGCATGAAATATTCCACTGAATTGCAAGTGATTTGGGGTTGTTATCTCTCAGAACCCTTGGGAACAGTCCTGAGACATTTTATTAGATCCTATCACACAGGAAGGTTTCAATTCCAGCCCTCCTGTCCTCTGTTGAATGGGCAACTCCTCCTTTCCTGGATCTCTGTAATTCAGGGCCTACCTCTGGCTGTTCCTCTGTCCCAGAAGCGGGGGAGGAGAGCAGTAAGATCTGTTGTGTGCCTTTGCACCTTTTGACCCCTGCATTTGGGGAAGTTGGGGCCATCTTTGTGCCACACCACTGGGCAAGGAAGCTGAGCGGCCTAGAATGTGTTCCAGCCTTGAGTTCACAGACAGAAAGGTACTGTAAGCAGAACATTCAATAATTCATAAACCATTTCGTTTCTCTGCTTCTAGTCTTTTATTGTACAGAAGTGGTAATGCTGACCTCAAAAAGATGTGTTCAGGAATATTCATGGTCGATGAGAAAATATTATGACAAATAAAATAGGTTGGGTAATCTCAAAATTATAATGATTAGCCAATGAGTACTCTTTCTTATATATCTAGCTCAAATCAATTCAAGAAAAGGGTATTGAGCACTGGCCCATGTGGCTCCATGATTAGAGCATTGGCCCGTGCACAGAAGGGTCGTGGGTTCGATTCCTGGTTAAGGGCACATACCTAGGTTGCAGGTTGATCCCTTGCAGTTGGGGTGCATGCAGGAGGCAACTGATCGATGTGTCTCTCTCACATCAATGTTTCTCTCTCTCCCTCTCTCTCTCTCTCTCCCCCTCCATCCCTTCTACTCTCTCTAAAAATCAATGGAAAAAATATCCTTGGATAAATATTAAAACAAACAAAAAAAAGAAGACAGTATTGAGCACACTGAGTACCCTCTTCATCACAGACACTGGCCAGCAAGATGGAGACTGGAATCTCAAGGTTGGCAGGTCATCGATCCCAAACTCTACAAGCAGCCACCCGTTCATGTTGGAATTTGCCTAGGGAAGGGGACCTCACCATATCCAGAGACAGCTTACTCCATGTCCAGACAATTTCATTAGAGATTTATTTTTTAAATAGAGTTGAATTATTTTATATCTTCATAGCTTCTATCCCTTAGTTCTAGTTCTATCCTTAAGTGGTTTTTATGGGTCAATTATTGTTCCAAGTGATTCTCATGCATTAAATTATTTAATCCCCACAGTAATCACATGAGATGGGTCCTCCCTGTTTTACAGAAGAGGGAGATGTGAAAAAAAGTTGAATGATTTGCTCAAAATCAAATAGCTACTAGGTGGCCAAGTGGCCTTTGCATCTAACCCCTTTTTGCACCTCATCTCAGAAGGGTCACAAGAACCATTGCCAACACTTAGCTCAGGTTCCAGAAATACCCTACTCTTTGCATTTCCCTGATGTGCCACCACTATGATCCTGGCAGCAAAAGAACTTAAGTCAGTCTGAATTTCCTTATGGAGCCCCTGTTGATTCCTGGTGGTCACAACTCCCCCTTTTCAAATAATTTCCTTCCCTCCCCCCATGCTAGAATCTTGCCCCATCTCCTCCACCTTTTGCCCATTTCTGAGCATCACACCACTGGTCACCCATTTGCAGCCTTCCAGCACTTCTGCTTCCAGAGTTCTCCAGAGATAACCTCAGTGTTCAATGAATTAATCACAACACCTCTTAGAACCTGATCCTCTTAGGAATCTGGGTCAGGAGACATAAAGTTAAAGTGCTTATGGTCTAGTTCAAGGAGGAGGTATGTAGACTAATAAAGATAATTAAAAAAACAGAATATGGTCACTGCCTTTAGAAGGGTGAAAGTGAGACATCACAGGGTTTATAAGACAAATTATTTCTACTTGGGCAGGAAAAAAGCTTCTTGGAGGCAGTGGTATTTAGAGCTAATCCTAAATAAAGAGCAGATAAGTGCTGACAAGGATACAGAGCAATGGCTCTCGCACCATTGCCCGTAGGCCTATAAATTCTTAAAACAGCCAGGTGATAATGTAACAGATTCCTTTAAAATGCTTGTACCATTTGACCTAGTGCTTTCAAGTCCAAGGAAATAATCCAAACACAAAGTTGTTCAAAGTCTTATTTAAATGACACTGCTGTTTAATGGAACACTAGGCCACCATCAAAAGACTGTTGTGAATGTAAACCTGATATCAGCTTAGGGACCTGAAGAGGCCCTTCCCTCGGGCTTGCAGGTATCTGATTAACATGCCCTGATTCTCCAGTCCACCATTTATGAAAATGCAATTGTCTCATTAATTATGTAGATGGCCAAGAGCTTCCTTCCTTCTGAATGTGTTTAGTCTCTGCCCTGTCCGGGCTGCCTAAACCCAGTGCCCACTTCCCCAGGCATTTCAGGATTCAGGTGATTTACTGTCATTGTGAGATTCTGCAGAGGGGTTCAGACTCTGCAGCTCTGCTCCCTGAACTCACTGGAGCAACGGACCAAGTATTCCCCATGCTTCTTCCCCAGGCCTTTTTCCTCAAAAAAAGGCAAGTTTTTCCTTAAAAGGAATTCTTGCATCAGTGGCTAAGAATATACATTTTCCCCTCACATTATTGTATGAGGAATTTTTCTTGATATGGGAAAATGCTTATGATAACATGAGCTAAGCAGGAAAAAAAGCAAGATGCAATCTTAAAATTACATCCAGTATAGCCTCAACTATGCAAAACAAAGAGGAAATTTCATCCAACAGTAGTACTGGCCATCTGGTAACAGGATCCAGGTGACTCTTGTTTTCCTATATGTGACTTGCTAGGTTTCCCCAGTTTTCAGAGATAATTAAAATGTTTGGATCCCAGATACCTGGAAGATATTACCATTTGGAAAAAATGAAAGGAAGTCAGGAAAAGCCAGTGTAGAACAGGTAAATTCAAATTTCCTTCCCTCCTCAGTTGCAGACAACCAGCTCCTAACTGATGCTCCCGCCTTGGCTGATAACTAACAGCCTCCAAGTGAAAGCTTGACAGTTCCATTGTTTTTAAAAGGCAGATGTAGTTTTCTGACTTTTCTTCAGCCTGCTGCCAGTGTGCCTCCATGATGACTGACGCCTCTGCAGGATTTCTGGGAGGACACAGAAGCTGCCTGGTGGCTGGATGGGACCTGTCACTGCAAAGATGCTCCTGCACCTGCTAGTCTCCGAGGTGGGGCACGGACTGCTACTGACCTCCCCGTGGGTTTGCATGGCCAAGTGTGGTCTAGGATGTGGGTGGGTTCCCTTTTTTCTCACCGCTGCCAAGCTCTGGTCTTATTACCTCTGCTAAACATTTAGCTTCTGACTGACCCAAAATCGTCTTTTTGATTTGATGCAAACAGCAAGGTTCTGTAGGGCTGACAGGCCTGGTTCCAGAGGAAACACGAGGATCCAGGAGGCTAGGGAAGGGCAGCTAATATTTCAGTCTATGCCAGATTCCCTGAATCGTCCTAGAAACGCCTTGGAGCCACACACCGACCTTACTGTCTTGGATGTCTCAGAAGCACAGCCTCCATGCACAGCTCGTCGTGGGACAGGCACAGAGCTAGGAGCTGGGTAGCACTCGAATTAGCTCCTCTTTTCTCTTCCTCGCTCCAACAGGAAGCAGGAGGAGCGATGTTTTTCCCAGTAATGATGCACGGAATTCTTGTAGGTGGTGTGCGTAGGCACTGTTCTTTCATTTCTTTAAATCATTACAAGGGGTTGGTTCTCTGTGTAAGCTGAGAATTTCTTCTCGCACCTGTGAAAATGATACTGCTCTCTCGCCGGCCTGAATGGAATGCCCTGTTCAGCTGTGAAACATTGTATTTATAGAGTGTCACTCTTCCAGGCCTCGCATTTATGTGTAGAGCCCCGCGTGTTTCCATTTCTCCCCTCAGGCAGGAGCCAGGCCGGAGAAAGCCAGGCCAGAATTCCCTGTCCTCGAAGAGACTGAGGAAGTACCCCAAAGACATGCAGCCCCCAGGAAGGAAGAGGGGGGGCGGGCAGGAGGATCTGCGGGTTAGGAGGGGAACAAATGCACGAGAAAGAAGAGGGGGCAAGAGAGAGAACCCTCCGGTAGATTCCAAGCCAGGCAGAGCCCAGATGTGCAGGGCCTCCACCTCCTTCCTGATTCTTCCCGCTTGAACACACTCCAGCTCAGAACCAGGTCCCAGCAGCCGTGTGGTTTGGGGAAGATTTTGGCAATCTCGAAGCAGCCCCAGCCATTTATACTCTGATTAAAAAGCAGTGTCCTTGGTGCGCAAATACAGCATCAGGACAGTTCTCCTAGCACATTATCACTCTGAGCCCTTCCTCTCTAGAAAGCTCGGAAGGTTCTAAACAAGGGAGTGATGAGAACTGATTTACGTTAGAAAAATATCGCCTGGTTGCCTTGTGGAGGCTGGAGGCTGGGGACAAGGTGGA